AAGAGGAGGCAAGTTTTGACCAGTTTTTTTTTTCTTCTTCTTCTTCTTCTTTCAATTTGTACACTTTGTTCTCCTGCAGCAGCTCTATCGAATCCAGTGAGAAGCAGAATTTTGTTTCTGTCAGGCATTCTTTTACGTCGATATGCCAGTTCTTTTTTCTTTGCTTCAGCTAGCTCGAAACATTTAACATGAAACAGAAAGTCTAATGGGATAAGAAATTCTTATTTATTTATATTTTTAATGTAAATATTGTTGTGAATTGAATATTCCTTTACACTGTAGAACATGGTGTTAAGCAGGAAAGCTTTAAATTTACGTTTAAATGTATGAATTGTGTTTTATGTCTTTAATATCATTGCCTAGATTGTTGTAAAGTGTAATGCCCTCTATTAGGGTACTTTTTTGATAAAGTGTAGTTTCAGAGTAGGGAACATGTAGGTTATCTTTTGACGAGTGTTGTAGTTGTGTACATCGGAATTTCAAGTGTCTTTGTTTTGAATGAGAATTTCCTTTGTGAAGACTATTTCAAATATATACTGTAACTTTTATCTCAGTCGAGTCGCTGGTTCACTCCTATAATGAATGGATGGAAGAGAAGGGAGGTTATGAAAATATCTATTGAATCATTTCATTAATTGGGAAAAAATTAATTTATTCCTGACATTAGCTGCCAGGGAAGTTACACGTCACAAGAGAGCGACAAAGACTGCCTACCAACTTTAATGAGCTCATGGTACTAATAGCTAGGAAGAAACATCTTAACACTAACATTGGGGTTTTGTCTACAATAATTCATGCATTGTTAAGTAATAAAAAACTGCCTGAGCGCGGCAACGCTGAAACTTTCGCCGGAATACCCAGCGAGGGAACCCCGTGACGTAATCAGGGGAGAGAATTCATCTTCGGTTAAATTCCGGATTATCACCGCTGGTTGTCGGCGCCTCCAGAGACCGACGGGATGGCTGACCTCGTCTAGTGATTTACCCTCGCTCTGACAAGGGCTGGCGGCGTGGTGCGGCGACGGGGGGGGGCGGTGGTCAGGTCACAGACTCCCCATTCGGTTCTTCTCAGCTGGCGGCATGGCTCGGAGTCGTCGAAGGCGGGCGGGTTCAGAGTCAGCCCGAGGACACACGGGCGCCGGGCGGGCGTAATTCGGACTTGAATGGGCCCGAGGCGGCACTATGCAGCGAACGCAAATATGACGCATAGTCTGGCGCGGGTCTTTGGTTTCGCGTAAAACCGCTCGGCGCAAAGTTCAGCCCTACGAGCCGAAATATAATAATCTCGCTCGCTTCGAGTCTTATCTAAAGAAACCACGTCTGTTTCTCCTATAATGTTCTTCCTAATAATGTTTTTCATCTACTCAGCGTCCCGGCAAACTTCGCCTCCGTTTTCCCCCTCCGAAAAAAGTATCTGGAGCGTTAGCTATCCCCTTCCCTCAACGGGGAGATGTCTCATAGGCCGAAACTATTTGCGTCGCAATTTTTTGTCACCCAATCGGGACGCACTGTTCCTGAAATTTTTCAATGCGATTTCTCTAATTCTAGAAGCATATCTTCCAGCTGCCCGAACACGTGTTCAGTCGGCTTTGTTTTTGAAACATAATTCTTCGGCGCCGTGATCGGCAGCCGGCGACAAGCGAGCTATATACTATACCTGTGATTTCCGGAAGTGTTGTAGGGATATTCCTTGCGCGGACGCGTGACGAATGACCGGCAGGCGGGGTCTGTCTCCGGGCCAAGACGCGGGCGGTCATTGTTTGACTAAGTGCGCGGGGGCTCCCCGAAGGGGGGTGGGGAAAGTCTTCCCTGCGGATCGGCACCCGCCGAAGAAGCAGCCTATGATTAAAAGAGAAAGCCAAATACCCTTGAAAGATAATATGAAATCAAAATTGTATATATATATATAATTTATATATTATAATTATATTATTAAAAAATATTTACAAAACCCTTATGGTAATAATCAATAACCCAAAATAAAAAGCATAGAATGTTAATAAAATGAACTCTAATAATGGCATTTCACAGATAGCCTCGGAAACAACGTTACTATTTTGTGCAAAATCTATGTATGGAAATAAATCTTTTCACAATGTAGGTAATGATAGATTGAAATTACGCGTGGCGAGAACGCACACCAAAATAGTATAGATTAATGTACCAACAAAAAAATGATGTATCAGAGCGATTTTCACAATCTCGGAATCACGAGGACAACCGCTATAAAGTATTTACTTTATTGAAATATGAAATATATAGAGCGTAGGATCTCCAGACGGCCGTAGTCAGTAGTCTTACTAGGCTGTCCGAGGTGACGCCGCGTCCGACGTGCGTAATGCATTTTGCCCTGAAGGAAGGTCAGCAGAATGGCGAACCGAAACGTCGCACCTTCGCCATAGGGGAACGCAGGGCGTCACACGGACAGCCCCTAGTGAAATAATAAATACTGAATGTTGACTGTGTGTAGCAGTTGCAGCACTTTACTAACAACAAGCACGTAAATCAATAGTATTTACTACTTGAGAATATGAAATTGATCAGAATCATATCTTGTGAGTAATATAAGAGGTCATAAACTATCATACTATGAGAAACAGGACTCTCACGTGGAATACTCTAAGGAAGTCTTCAACATAAAGAGATTTTTGCATTGCTGCACAATCTTTAATTCTCCCACGCTTAACAATGTGAATCAGCTGATAATACTTTGAGACATTTGCATATAAACATCACCTTATTAGCGTTGGTGCATAGAAGATATTCTGATTGTTTCAAACTTTTTCACAAGAGAAACATATCAAGATATACATATACTTTGTTAATTTTAGGCATACGTTGAAATAATTTTATTTATTGATCGAGAAGTATTTTCTGCCCAATTTGTTTTCTGACTTTTAGTCCCATATCTATTTAGGAATAACTGACCACCTATTGGAATTAATAACCTATGTGTGATGCCAATACAAATCCTCTTCTTAAATACAAGCGTATCCTACTCGCTCAGGTTGTTACATCAATTTATATCAAAATGTTAAATAATCCTTGACTCCAAATTCCTCTCTTCATCCATGATTAAATTACACGGCAATATTTTAAGCGTCCAGTACAAAAGGATAAAGATATATATACAGTAGATAGTATACAAAGCATAAAGCATGATTGATCCTAAAAATATTACAAATAATAATATTAAAACTAAATTCGACCATTAATGCATTCATGCATGAATCACTTCAAACCTATTTAACAACCTTAAACTAAT